TTGTTATTTCTTTCAATATTTTCTATATTTGTTTTGATTCATTTTTATATTTAGTGATTAAATTAGAGTAATATTTTTTTTTTAGGTTTTTGCGAATTTTTTCAAATAGAGTTTTGTAATTTTTATATATGCGTAAATTAGCATGAGATTTTGTTTTTAAATATTTTATATAAATTTTTTGTTTAATTTTTGAAGATTTTTTGAGACCCTTGGTAATCCAAGGACTACTTAAGGTTTTTGGTTTTAAGGTTATTTTGGAAACGGGAAAATTCGCATCGTACACCGAGAAGAATGTATTAAAGAACTTATTATAGATTGCATTTATGTCTTCATTAAAATTTATATGCTTCCAGTTTAACAATGATAATTTATATTTAAATGCTTCTAAATTTTTTTTGTTAAAAATACGTTTTCTTATAGTTTGACTTTTATTAATGTTAGGAGTTGAAATTGTGTTAATTGTTAGAAAAATGGGGAAATGGTCTGATATATCTGATTTTATAATGCCTATTTGAATGCCATTGTTATATATATTTGTTGTTAAAATATTGTCTATAAGGGTGGTTGAGTTTTCTGTTATTCGAGTAGGCCGGTTTATAAGCGGTATTGCTCCTGATTTGTATCAAATATTTCATTTCACTTTTCTTTGTTACCTTTATGAAAAACGTTGTGCTTTAAGTATAAGCTTAAATTTTCTGACGCACCACCAGGTGGTCTATAACAACAACTTAGTAGAATGCTTTTGCTTTTTAACTTTTCGCTTTTATTGTTTAAAATTTCAATTGTAACGATTTCTTTATCGCCATCAGAAACGCACAGATCATTCCTAACGATATGCGCAATGTTTTGTTTTATGTAAATCAGAATTCCTCCACCGCGTTTATTTAATTGTCTTTCTAATAAAATTGTTTCAAAATCAGGAAAATGAAATTAGAGTTATTATTAAGCTCATTTTGTGAACACCAAGTTTCCGTTAAGCAAATAATATCAAAATAGTTTTTAGTTTCTTCTATAAAATGTCGAAGATTTTCAAAATTTTTGTTCATACTTCTTATATTTATGTGGACAATTCTAATTTTTTTGTTTTCATCGCCATTTCTAGAAAGAAATTCTTTTAACTCACTAGCATAATGATAAAAACAATCTACTTTTAAGTCATTAAAATAATTAATATCTGGATCTGTGTTTTCATCAGATCCAATGTATTTGTTTCTAAAGTTGAAAATAAGTGATTCATAGTCATCCATTTTATATTTTTTGTTGTTATCATTTTTTGTGTGCTGAATAAGATTTAAAAGAATTTCTTATACTTCTGAGGCGCGCGCTACAAGTTTGTTATATATAACTTTAGCAAACTTACCCTCAGCTCGAAGTTCTTTTGCTTTTGTAAATAGAAATCGTCTTTTTTTGATTGTGCGATTGCTATAGTCTCCGTTGAGATATATTTTTTCGTTCCATAGCTTTCTTTTTTTATACTCATTTAATACGATTTCTCTGTCTTTATAGTTAGGAAACTTTACCACGATAGTTCTTCATCTTTTTCCAGATGCGTGCTTCTTCACAGTCCTGTGTGCTCTTTCAATTGCAATATTATATATATATGTAAAACATACAATCAAAGTGTTATTATAATTATAAAGACTTTAATTTATATTCAAATTAAAACTTATAAGAATTTGCAGTATACACAAGTTTTGCATTTTTATATAAAATATGCAAAACTTGTGTATACTGCAATTTGTGTATAAGTTTTTGTAAAATTATACATATTTTCATAGCAAAAAAATCTTTTAATGTTTTCACTTTTATAACACATTAATACTTTTATTAAAAGTTTTTATAGAACTTTCTTACGCATTGTGGAATATTAAATTTTATTTTAATTTCGAACTATTAGTACTTCGCGTCGCGAACTCTCGTATCTACATTTTAGCGTAATTTTAACGGTATTTCAACGTTTATTTTTCAACGTTAATTCAACGTTTGTTTTTAGTTGAAAATCAGCGTTGAATCAATATTGAAATTTCAACGTTTTTTTTTAACGTTAAACTAACGTTGAAATAACGTTGAAATTTAGATCGTTATTTTTCAACCATATATCAACCGTTTCTCAACGTTGAAAAAACAATGAAATAACGTTATGTGCTTGCTGGGCGTTCGTGTGAAAGCGCGTAGGACGTATTAAACCCAATAATAAAACGTGACTTATATTAGCATTATATATTTCGGTTTTAACGTTAATCTCTAACTAACCAAATAAAACGCCTGTTTTATAAGTTTGTACACGATTATTTATACCATATAATATTTCCCCGAGAGAGATATTATAGGTATTTTCTAACTTATAATGATCTATATACAAAATTAGCTAATTGCCTCATTAGCGAAGGAAATCTCTAATGTCAATATATGACGCTTAGAAACGTTTATTATACAGCTATATTATTTACATTAAACTATTATTTACACTAATCGCCTCGTGAACATACTCCTCCCTTTTGACCAAATGGTCAACATCTTCTGGTTCAGTCGGCTCGAGAGGGCACAACTTGGTTATCGGACGTTTCAAGATAACCTTCCTAGTTTGAACATTAGCGACACGCACTAACCCGTCGTTTCCAGGGAAAACCTCAGTTACCCGACCAAGTGGCCAATTTGCTCTTAAAGTATTTTCGGAGAGCACTAATACCAGGTCCCCTATCGATAAGTAGTTTCCCATTACGGTATTCCATTTTTTTCGTGGTCCAAGCATGGGTAGCCATTCTTTCATCCAGCGATGCCAAAAATATTTTATTAATTCTTGGACCCGTCGCCATCTTCATTTTTGGTTGAATGAAGTAGTATCCACTGCATCAGCGGCGAACTTACCACCTAAATGTCCAAATAAAAAATGATTTAGTGTAAGTGGTGTGCAGTCAAAAAATGATTTGGTGTAAGTGATGCGCCAGCAAACGCTGTAATAAGTTCTTCGTCAGTAATATCCGCATTTCCCAGTTGGGAATAAATTGTTTGTTTTGCGGCTTTTATCATGATCTCGTGAACTCCTCGAAATGAGGGACTTCAGGTGAATTAAAATGCCATTTTATACCAAAATGGCTTGTTGCCTCGTTTATTCTTTTCTTTTCGCCATCAGTGAAACTTCGCAGCTCTTTGTTTGCTAATACAAAGTTCCCTCCATTGTCAGATATCATTTCTTTTGGCGTTCCTTTTCGACTGCTCATCCTAAAAAATGCATTTAGAATTGATTCGGCGTCCAACGCAAACGCTACTTCCAGGTGAACTGCTCGTGAAGACAAACAAGTAAACAAGGCTAAGTAACATTTTGCCCGTTTTTTCCCTCTATCTTGAATGGTTATGAACGGACCACCATAATCAACAGCACACCATTCAAAAGCCTTCATACTAAACTGCAAACGTTTCGTTGGTAATGGTGCCATAATCTGCGTTGCTAACTTTGCTTTTCTTCGCTTGCATTCTGCACACTCTGCTTCCATTTTATTATCTCTTCTCTTCCAGATACTACCCAATACTTTGTAGACAACTCCACCAAGATATGATTTACACCACATATATGCTGACCTGCTTCGTGACAATCTTTTACGATCAACTTTGTTATGTGGCTATATCTTGGCAAAATAGTTGGGTATCTTGTATCGAATGAGAGAAACTTAGCATTTTTTAATCGACTGTCGCATCTTAACATTTTATTTTCATCTTTTCGTCTATTCGTGGCGATAATTTTAATAAGCAACTAGTTTTGGAAATTCCTTTATTATTTATTAATTGATTGTACTTTTCCGCGAATGTTTTCTTTTGAGCATTTATAGTTAATTCTGTTTCTGCGTCATTAATTTCTTCCGTTGAGAGTGTTCCTGATGACAAACATTTTTTAAAACAGTTATGTTGGAGCCTTCGTACCCAGGCTAAAACTCGTGTTAACCTTCTCCAATTAGAGTAGCGGGTTGGTTCCAATCCCCAGTCATCGCCATTTTCTTCGGATTTAATAGCCATTGAGGTATATGTGTTCTTTACTTCTAAAATTAATTTGTCTTCGATTTCTTTAAATTCCTTGTTTGGCCTTTGGGATTCCTCTTGTTAGATGAAATCAAGCCGAGTCCACCACAAATAACTTTTTTGTAAGTCGTTTATATTTACTCCTTTAGATGACAAATCCGCAGGGTTTTTCCCTGTCGGTTAGTAACGCCATTGTTTCGGATTTGAATGAGATTGGATTTCTCCAACTCTGTTTGCAATGAAGGTCTTAAATCTTCTATTTGGATTTTTAATCCAGGATAACGTATTCAAGCTATCTGACCAGAATATAAAATTCTCCATTTTTATTGTCCAAGGCAAAGCTTCTACTACGGAGAGCGCAAGCTTCAATCCATATACTGCACTCATTAACTCCAATCTGGGAATGTTAACTGAATTTAATGGAGCGAAAAGAGTGTTTGACGAAACAAAAGAACTTGACGTTCCACCAAATTCATAACCATGAACTAAATAACATACTGTTCCAAAAGCTGTTTGTGAAGCGTTGACAAATACGTGAAGAATTGAATAAATGATTTTATCATTATTTTTGATACGTAAACAGCGAGGTATTTTACGTTGGTGAATACTTGTCAGTTCGTTAAACAAGATATCCGATTTTTGTTTTATTTTGTCTGGTAGCGTTTCATCCTAATCTTCTCCTGACGTCCATAGTTCTTGAAATAATATTTTTGCTCAATTAACGAAAGGAGACAAGAATCCAAGTTGATCAAAGAGGTTTAAATGTATTTTAAGAGCAGTCGTTTACTCGTAATTGGTTCTGATGGTAGAGTGTAACTAAATGTAAACATATCTTCGGCTGCTTCCCAAGATACGCCCAGTGTTTTCACTGTAGGTAAGTTCTCCATGTTTATGTTTATTTTTGCTGCTCTAGCTTCCGTAGGAATGCATTCCATCACTGTTTTTGAATTAGAAATCTATTTTCTTGCGGTCATTACCGCCTTTTTTCACAGTTGTGTAAGTTGATTATATAGTTCAATTGCTTTTTCTTCGGTTTCAACTGAATCCATACTGTCATCCATGTATGTAAACTTATCAACAGTCTCCGCAGCCAGTGGAAACTTTTTTTTATATTTCTCTGCATGTTTTTGTATAACAAACTGTGCTTGAAAAGGACTGGAGTTGACACCAAATACAACTCTTGTAAATTCAAATAACCCAGGGTTTTTATTTTCTTCTAGATCCCGCCAAAGAAATCTGTGATATCTTTCGGATTCATCTCAATTTGCTAGTACATTTCTGTGATATCACCCAGCAAAGCGACTGCGTTTCTTTGGAACCGCAACAGAACGGCACAGAGATCTAGTTGCAGTTTTGGCCCTTGATAGATGATGTCATTAAGCGTTACACCTTGGCATTTTGCAGCAGCGTCGAAAACGGTTCTGACTTTTGTAGTTTCCTTTTCCAACTTTACAACGCTGAAGTGTGGGAGGATCCATTGATTTTTGTAATCATTGTTGCTTACTTTTTTGATATAACCTTTTGTTAAGTAGTTTTGTATTGTTTCTTTGTAAATTTCTATCACCTCCGGTGTTCTTTTAAGCCGTTTTTCCGTACTTATTAACCGATTTACTGCCATTTCATAGTTGTTTGGCAACAATTTTGGATCTTCTTTCCAAGGAATGCCAATTTGATATCGCCCATCCACATAATTTGTCGAATTTTCCGCTTGGTCTAGGGCCTTTTTATCTTCAACACTTTCAGCTTGCGTTTCTGATGTTGGATAAATATTTTCGATTTCCCAAAATGTTTTTAGTGTTTCATTAATTTTTTTAACTTCGGAAATATTTTTAGATAACGTCCTGGTGTGGCAAGTATAATGATTTTGAGTACGTCCAAGCGCCCCAACACATGTCCATCCCAGTGCCGTAAGTCGTGCTATTAGATCTCTAGTGCGTCCTTTAACTTCTGCTTTCGACGAATGAAGGTCAGCGTTATCCAATCCAATAAGAATATCTACAATCGGTCGCTGTCCCAATCTGCAAAATGGTATAGTTTTTAAGTGACTCCAATGGTTTTTCAATTTATTCCACTTGCATTTTACTCGTAACTCTACCAACTGTTAATGCATTCATCTTCCTTTTCAATTTACCATCAATGCTTTGCAACTGAAATTCAACCGGCATTGTTTGAACCGGCATGTGTCTACTCTACCATTGAGTACATTAATCTTAATTTCTTTCATTACTCCTTGTAATCCAAGTTCTGCAGCTACATCACTGTTTATATAGGTTTGGGTACTAGCATCATCCAATAGAGCGTTAACTTTTATCAACAGCTTTCCATTTGTTATAATGACAGGTAAAGTTCTCATAGCCACTTCTTGAATTTGATTTTTACTTGAAAACTTGGTAACAAGAGTTGTTTCTTCCCTTTTTTCTCTCGTTTGTTTCTTTAAATGCAATAGTCTGTTATGAACTTCCTGACAACCATCGGTTCCACATTTTCTTGATTTCTCGCATTTGTTTCCAACATGACCATTACCCAAACAACAATAACATAGATGATGAAACTTTGCTTGTTCCTATCTTTTACTTACTGCCATGAAATTGAACTTTTCACATTCCCAAACTGCATGTTTGCCATCGCAAATTTTGCCCGATTTTCTTACATCGTCTTTGAGCTTTTCTTCAAAGTAAGTTCTTTGTTTTTTTTTAAGTTTTTAAAGGGTTTTCTTGATCTTACTTTGTATCTTCCAAACCACATAAGGTTTCCTGGGCAACTGTATAAACCTCAGTTTCTTGAATAACCCATTCTCTCAGCGATTCCACCCCAGGACATTTTTGCTTTTCAAATAACCATCGTAAAAACACACTTAGCATTGTTTTTGGTAACTTCTTCATAAGTTTAATGTAGAGTGAGCCATCTGCTAACTCTTCGAATTTTCCTAATTCTTTTAAATTTATGACTGCAATGTCCATCATATCAGCAAAGTTTTTAAGATCATTTGAGTTGTTTGGTTTTACTAGACTAAAGTTTTCCATTCTCTCCAAATACAAGACAATTTGTCGTCGTTTGCCCCCATACTTCCTTTTCGAGTCGATCTTTTGCAGCTTCGTACGCAGCTTTTGAATGCCCAAACATTCAATAACTTTTGAAGCTTCTCCTAATAAGTACTGGTGTAGTTGCAAGAGCTTATATTCCGGTAAAGCTGGAGCCCTATCAATGCATGCTTTGAACGCTGCCTTCCAATTTTCGTATTGTGTTTTTTTTCTCCAGAATAAGCAGGAATCGACTTTCTAGATAAGTGCCTCCATAAGTCTTGTCCTATTTCACTTTTTGTACTTAAGTCACTTTCGTACTTACCTTTTTCACAGTACTCCGTTATTTTAGATGGCTCACCTCGCCAGCCAGTTAAAACAGGGCGTGTTTGATAGTCCTTTTTTACATTAACAGTGTCAGCATGTCATTTATCTTGAGCGTCCTATTCATCATTTTTCAACTCATCCCATTCCATTTGCCGATTTTGTTTCCAATGTTTTACATATCCATTATCCATCACTCCATTATCCAATCCATGTGTTTCATAACCAACTTTACCACATCCATGTGTTTCATAACCAACTTTATTGATGCTATTTTTATTTTTCATTTTTTGACCAATTCTTTCAAGTTGACGTTTACGTTCGCCACCATCCCCTATTGTGACAATGCTTGAAGCGTCATCTTTTCAAGAGTAAAGATATTCGTGCGTCATTTCGTCTGCTTCCATGTAGGCAGACTCTATTACTTCAATTTCTTTTGTGACCTTGGTCGCCATTTCGAATTCGTTATTTTTCCGATATTCAACTGAAAGGTTATCCATTGTCTTCGTTGCAGCCGATTGTGCCACATTAAGCTTTTCCCAACATTCACAAACATTGTTTCTGCTCGGAAGGTCGGAAGTAAAGTAATTCTATTAGCGTTCTTCTCGTTCTCGTAAATTTCGCTTATGTCTTCGCTTTAGCTTGTTTTAGCTGATCCTTCCAACTCACTTTCACTTTCAATATCGCTCATTGTTGTGTTCGATTGTTAAATAACTACCCTCTACTACCAAAATGTTTGTGTGAAAACGCGTAGGACGTATTAAACCCAATAATAAAACATGACTTATATTAGCATTATATATTTCGGTTTTAACGTTAATATCTAACTAACCAAATAAAGCGTCTGTTTTATAAGTTTGTACACGATTATTTATACCATATAATATTTACCAAAGAGAGATATTATAGGTATTTTCTAACTTATAATGATCTATATACAAAATTCGCTAATTGCCTCATTAGCGAAGGAAATCTCTAATGTCAATATATGACGCTTAGAGACTTTTATAATACAATCATATTATTTACATTAAACTATTATTTACACTAATCGCCTCGTGAGCACTGGGTATATAAACTAAAAAAAGAAAAATAATGTCTCGCGCACGTTCAATATTCTCAGCTGCATACGTGGTTTGAAAGTACCCTGGTCGAGGATCATCTTCAAGACTCTCTTTACCATCTTTAAATAAAGTAGCCCATTTGGCAACTGTACTATATTTTGGAGCTTGGTCACCATGAACTAAAACCAATTCATCGGTTATGGCTTTCCGGCAAAAATGTAAGCGTTGAATCAACGTTGAAAACCAGTCGCAGCGTAGAAAAAGCGTTAGTCACAAAATCAACGAGAAGAATGAGAGAAGATATATATATATATATATATGATATAAGAAGATATATATATATATATATATATATATATATATATATATATATATATATATATATATATATATATATATATATATATATATATATATATATATATAAATATATATATATATATATATATGTATATATATATATATATATATGTATATATATGTATATATATATATATGTATATATATATATATATATATATATCTTCTCAAAAAATCACGTATTCAACGTTAAACAAAAGTACACAAATAATCACTGTAAAAACGTCGCAAAGTTTATGGTTTATCAACGTTATACATAAGCTGTTTTTTTAACGAATTTAAGCTATTTATAAAACAACGCTTTTTCAACGTTACATATACCAAAGTTAAAAATGTGGTAATAAAAAAACGTTGAAATAGTGTTATTTTGCCAACGTTAATAAAACGTTGTTTTGTCAATGTTGGGGAAGTGGCACATTAAAAATTATTGTCTCAATAACTAGCCATTACAAAAATAATTTGCCGTAATGAAAAGGCAAGGAAAACTTAATAGAATGCATGCATATGGTATAAAAAATATTTTAAAGTTATATTTTATAACCTATTTTTATTGCGACTTATTGAAAACTTTTAGATTTTATATCAAAATGTATATAAAATACATAAATCTCAGGGTATTTTCGACTTATTCAGGTTATTTTTGTCAATGTTTTATTTATTTTAGTTGACCATTTTAATAGAATGCCTCAAATTTTTTAAATATGTTATTTCTTAGTTAGAAATAGAACTTAGTTTTAATAAAGATTCAGATGTATAAATACATATATATATATAATATATATATATATATATATATATATATATATATATATATATATATATATATATATATATATATATATATATATATATATATATATATATATATATATATATATATATATATAGATATAGATATAGATATAGATATATATATATATATATATATATAGATATAGATATATAATATAAATATTTATATATGTTCATATATATACATATATATATATATATATATATATATATATATATATATATATATATATATATATTCATATGTATATATAAATATATATATATATATATATATATATATATATATATATATATATATATATATATATATATATATATACATTTACAGGTATATAGTATATATATATATATATATATACATATACGATATTTACAAGTTGTCATCTTTTCCTATATATAACAGGGACTACTAAAATAACGGGACGCGAAACTTCAAATCGATGCTAAAACGACGACAGGGCCGATTGTAAATGGCGATGCTAGTTTAATTTAAAAAAGAAGTTATGAAAGACTTACATTAATCTAATTATATTCACATTTTAGAATACATTAAGGGGCAACTACCCTCAAATTTCAAAACAACACATATAAAGTAACTTTTTTTTTAGTCATATAGTAAATATTATACTGACATTAAAAATACCAAAAAATACATAAAATGGTAGCTCGTTGCTATGGCAACTCAAAAAAATAGCTAAAAATCCCACAAAAACTGTGTTTACGCCGTAAAAAAAATAAGAATTATGAGTAAAGGAGTGTCAATGAAATTTTGTAGAACTGTTCTAAATATGTAAATTTGTGATATGAGCGAAGCAGATTTTTAAATAAAAATTTTTTTTTTGATAAAAAGCTACAGTCAAATTAGATTATTAAAAAAAACGTCAAAATACAAAGAAAAAAACTAAAAAACTCAAAATCTTAAGTCATATGAGAAATTCTACTCCGCTCATATTATAAACATTGGTAAAATGAACGATCCCTGAAAATTTCATTATGATAGCATGTATACTTTTCAAGATTTTTTTCCCGGCGTGTTTAAAAATTAAATTCTCAGAAAACACAAAACAAAAAATAAAACCATAAATTATTGTTCATTTCATAAAAATATCTTTAAAAAAATAACTTTTTAAAAGAATATTTTAAAAACTACCAGATTCATAATATTCCTTGGACTTTTCTATTGACTTTTGATGATCATTTGATAATCGTTGACGTCGTAACATCTTTCGTTTCATCTTAAAACTTTCACTCGATTTAAATAATGATAGTTTTATTCGTTTTTTGTTTATGAGTCTGCAACCAGCTAAAGTAAAAATGCCCTGGTTTCATATTTAGTTTTTCATAAATTAAAATGACAGACTTCATACCGATGTTATAATTTGCAACAGCATCGTACACTCCAAACTCTAAACTGGCTAAACGAACATAATTACTTTTTGGTAATCTATCCCATATTAAATTATTAAAACTCTCGTTGCAATTCTGGGTTTTGCCATGAAGACACTTTACTAATTCAGAATCTTTACTTAAATCAGCATATATTGGCTTGATTTTGTGAATAATATCCGCAGGAATTCCTGGTCCAGGTTTGTATATGGAAGTAGACATTGCTTTATCAATGTTAAACTTACACCAACTATCACCTCCAGTCGGGCAGTAAATATGATAGTTATTTTCCTTAGAAGAAGCTACATGGAAAAAGGCTAGCTAATACTGCTTGTTTCATTTTATTCAGATCATTTGTATTGCTCCGGATAGCTACACCAAAAAAATTTTGCAAGCGATCAATAACTGCATTGGTTAGTCGACCACGACCACCTAGACCCTTAACATTTTTTTTTAACTTGCGTAAGCGAGTACTAACTCGTTTTTGGTAATGTCCTACACACTCCAACTTTTTTTACCTCCATATTTGGGTATATATCTTTGATAGAAAGATGGGATTTACTATCCCCATCACCAAGAAATTGAGTATATCTTAACTTATGTTTTTCGATGGAGCGTTTAAAAAACTCTCACCCTGCGCCAACTGATTCCATACCACCTGCTGTACCTTGATAATTGTACAGGCAAATATGTTTGTTTTTTCCAATTAGCATATGCATCAGGATTTGATTTTTTTAATTGTTCTTTCATACAGCAAGCTTTACATGATTTATTCATAGGTTCAGCATCAATTATTTTTCCACTATCTATTAAAATTGCGGTAAAAAACTCCATTCATTGACTGATATCCTCTTTTTCTGCCATGATCCATCGCATGATACACCAACATCAACAATTTTCCTCACTAGTTGCATTTTCTTTCATTTCAGTTGCAGCATCTGACATTGTTTCGTTTGCAACACTTTTTCACGATGTTTTTTATTTTAGTTGTAATTTTTGAATAGTTTTTGGGTGTCATGGGTTTTGGCATTTTCATGAGCTGAGTAAACTTTTCAATGCCAGAATGACCATGGCCTAAGACTCTCATTGCATATATTGTCCTGTTGTTAATATCAAACCCTTTATCACAAGCAACTGATGTATAAAATTCATGTTTATAGTCACAAGATAGTGTAGTACACTTTAAATATAGCAACGCTGCTAGACCTTTCTTTTTTTTTCTGATGATCACCTAAGTACAGTGCACACTTTTCACATTGAGGACACATTAACAATGAAAGAACTTTAGATAAAATTTCAGTGTCTATAATTCTGTAACCAGTAATTCTTTTAATGTTTTTACTTGGTACATTTGTAACAACTTTTACTTTTTTAGCTGATGCGCCCAAAATATTTCTTTCAATAGAGTCACATTCACTTAAATTACATGCATTTTTATTTTTCTTCACCATAAATCCTCTTCTTTTTTTATAGTAATTTGTTCTCTGCTTTACTCTATCATTAATATTTTTGTTCAAAATAACACCCAAATCAGTAG